CGCCCCCCTTCCCCCCCCCCCACCCCCCCCCCCCGGGCCGCCAGTCCGCTAACTACGGTGAGTTAATGTTTTTAATAAAATTACTGGTGCCAGCCTTATCAAAAAGCGCCTGAATCCAATGTTATATTGACTAAGTCCATATTCCATTAGGCGGCTCAGTTTTGGGGAGGGAAGAGGAAAAGGGTGGGTGGGCAGGTAGTTTTTATCCAGAATGCACCGGATCCTTGGTTTAAAAAGGTAGATTTGAGTCTTGAATACACTGATTGGATTCATTGATATTATTGATGTAAATATTGGAATGACCCTCGTTCTTAAATCACTTAGAAACATGTTTTTCTTCTGTAATTTTATTTTTTTTTCCCTCAACAGTTCCCCATTTTATTTCAATGTCATTTAATAATAATAGTAAAAAGGAGTACGCAAACAATCCACATGTAAATAGTAAATAAGTTTATGTCAATCTAATAAATTTAATTTCAATGTAAACAGGTTTATGTCAATGTGCTTAGAAAAGCTTTTAATAAGAATGAAGTACAGGTTGGTTATGTATTATTTTGTTGTTTATTAGATATATATATATATATATATATATGTTTATGTACAATTTAAAATTTTAAAGTAACTTATAAAACATTTGGAATAAGAAAAATAATCTATGCTTATCAAAATAGACAACATAGCTCTGTTATTGTATGACAATTTTATTTACCTCTTACATACAAAGCGTGAAAAATACACGCTGTCTTTTCAACAGCAGGCACGGAAACTAACCATTTGTGTTTCACTGATATTTAAACAGAGTCATAGCATTGCTCTCCGATCTGTCAAACTACATTTTAAACAACATGGCATTAGTTGGCCTGCTAATCATGAAGTTTAAATTTACCAACTGTATTATACATGAATCCTTTACAAACATGTTCAGATTAGCATATTTAAAAAACAACTCATTCATCTGTATCACCACCACAACAGATACTAATTTTATCATGTAAGCAATCCCCAACCAAAGCACAGAATGACATGTCATCTTACTAGAAACTCATAAATTATGATCATTCTAAAAAATTTTACGAGGGAATTTAAATAAGGATAAAGGGGAAAAATAAGATGTGACACGTGCAGAGCGATAGTTTTTAAAAACAATAACTGGATAGTTGCTGAACTGTAACTTTAATTTAGCTGATCCAGAGAAATAATAAAAACTAAAATGTATATTGCGTACACATAATTAATATTTGGCCTGAACTTATTATTTGCTTCATAATAGTGCCAATAAGTATTTTTCAACACCAAGAAAAACCATGTGATTTAAATACAATTTTGTCTTGCCTCTCAAAATAATATTTGTCTTGAAAAAAGTGATTAAGAAAAAGTTATTTTGGGCAGGTATTCAAAATGTTCATGAAATTGGCATTCACTTTATTCAATATAATTAAAAAAAATTTGGGGGGGGGGGGGGGGGGGGGGGGGGGAAATCTTTCAGTGGAATAAGTGGGGATGTCAGCTTCAGTGGACAAAAAGGCCATCCATAAATGACTTCACTCTGTTTTTGGCTGATTTTTACAACCCCCCCCCCCTTACATATTGTAAGAAAATCAGACACTTTTATCACACCCTGCGTGACAAATTTGTGACAACCCCCCGCCCCCTCCCGATGTCATTTGTGGATGGCCCAATAGGAAGTTACTGTTAGGCGTAAGGCCATGAGGAAAAATTGGTTCACAAATTTTAGTTTCTGACAATGCATTCTCAACTGTTATATTTTATAAGATCATAGCTACAGCTGAAACATATTGAGCAACTTTTATTTCAATAAGATTTGGTACCAGCACCTGCCCCAAATTTAATGTCAGTGACAAAGCTGCAACTATGAGATCTGCACTGACACAAACTTGATTCTTGACATTTATAGGAGAATACACTTCAGCAAGGAAAATGCATCGATGTTTACCTTCCTAGGTCAATGCAGCAGTCGTCTAGCTTTTGGCATCGGTTGGTCGGGTTGGATGCATGTAGCAAGTACCTTTACGTATACATTACATTATACAGTAAGTTTATTAGTTTTCAAGTCGCTTACTTACACAATAATTATTTTTTTAAAGTCTGGGTTGTAAAGAAAAATGATTTTCTTTGTACCGTATGGGTAATAGCAGTATATTATTTTATAGGGTCGGCTTGATGGCGGTTATACCTTTTTCAGGCTTTTCCTGGCCAAAACTGGGGGGGGGGGCGCGGGTTGTGAGCGAACTGGCTTTAGAACGAGTAATTACTGTGAGCAATGAGCATTAACGCTAATGAGTGAGAAGAGAAATACAACATTCAAAAACATTTGGCAAAGAGAAGTGCTGTTCACTCTTCAACAATTAACTACATCAGTGTTGAGGCCATCTATCAGGACTCCACACTCCACACGATAGGAAATGACAGTCTAATATGGTGATCCCTTTTTCTCCATTATTTGTTTTGGGGATTGATTTTACCAGTAATTTTATTTCTGTCACACAGATATTGTCAGCTGGCCAATATGTCTCATCAACTCATTAAAAAGTTTCAGTTAATTAAATCAATAAACTCTTTTAGAAAAAACGTGGAAAGAGTAAAAGCATAAAAGAGATACTCAATAGACAGTCAATTCTGGGGATGATGGTATTGGCAGTTCAATTATATTATTGCTGTTAACTGCCGGATAACATAGTGTCATCGACAAGCCTTCAACCTGTCACTCTGGAGCTGCGTGTGGCTCTTTCAGGGAATAAATGCTTTCCTCTTCATTATCAAACTGAACTTATGTACTTTAAAAAGAGCGGGGGGGAAAAAAAAGTTATTTAATTATATTTGTTTTTATCATGTTTCTAAATTTATGGTATAAGAAAGTAATTATTACTCCAGGTGTCATGTGCCCATTCCCAAACACGCCTACCTGGGGCTCCTTAAATATTTTCTTGCAAATGCAATTTTAAAATTAATCATTCAAAAAAAAAAAAGGTTCCCAAACCCTTAAAAACAAGGCCGAAAAATTTTTTTGTAGAAAAATACTGATTGTAACTGTAAGGAGTACCTAGTATATTATGCATTAATTACAAACAGTTTTACTATTTACATCATGCTTAATCAGAAGCTCTGTTTTATATATTTAAAAAAATTAGTGTGTAACTGTGAAGTCAAGATAAATATAACAGTTTTCCAGACTGTTTGTCATTGGTCGAAGGTGCATGATCACTTTGAGAAGGTGAGCGGGAAGGAACATTCGGGAGACCTGAAATGTAAATTGGTGATTTTTTAAAAAAAGAACAAAAACAATCCTATATTAAAATTTGTAAACAAAAATAAAGCAGGCAAAAAAACAAACAATGAAGCAATAGTTTTCACATTAAATATCAGTTATCATATAATTGACATTTAAAAAATATTTTAGTAGCAAATAATATGAATTGTATAATATATAATTAGTGGAATGAACTATTTTTTAACCTTAAACTTTTTAATTTTAAACAAACTCCAAGAAAAAATCTACCTAAGTCATCAAGAGTTAAAGATTGAAAGGCATCTAATGGGATTTCTTCAGTTTTTTCATGCTTTCCAGGTTGATTGCTATAATCCAATTTTGTTTTATCTCCATAGTCTTTTAATAGTTCATCCAAGTCTTTTTCTAGGTCTTCATCTTCATCGTACGAAGTTGAAGAAGTGCTCAAAATTTTATTTATTTCATCCTGATTTTCAAGAGCCTAAAAATACATAAAATGACATGGATATTTTCATGATCAATAAATTGTAAACAATATATCAGCAAATTCATAATTAATTACATAATTATTTTTATAACTTTCAATAAAACAATTTTAAAAATTCATAATAATATAAATATAATGTTTTACTTAAAAAAAGAACAAACATCAAAAGCCAGTGAAATTGAATTAAAAAAATTATGGGTATAATTATTTGACTCACTTCTTGGACTCCATCTACAATGGCTTCTGCTTTTTCCACTGTCAAATCATTATTTAATGACTTCAATGCCATCAGACCAGCTTCACAAGCCTTGATAACCTGAGGATATATTTACAGATTCATTACAGAATGTAATGAAGTTAAAAAGTGATTCAATGTTGGCATATTGTTATTAAAAATACCAGACAAAAGCTGCAGTGTCTTTGAGATGCTATTTAAGGTTACCAATTAGACAAGAAAGGTGAGACTTTAACAGAACTTGTTAAAGCTGAAGAGATGTAACATTTTTTTTAAATTCTAGAATGATGATATCCACGGTTTATAATCAGGCTATTTGCAGGTTACATGTTTATGGTTAGTTAATTCACCATCTCATTTGTGCTTGCGTCTTCTATCTTTTCCACTATGCTTTGCAAATTGACAAGGGATGCTGATTTTCTTTCTATTGTTTTCAATAAGCTTTTCTTTTTTCTCAAACTGTGCAGCGCCTGCAAATAAAGACATGCAACCATTGAACTGAAAGAATTTTTACTTTTGCCTAATTTAGATTTAAAAATATCGTAATGCTATGTGTAGAAAAAACATTTAATATATTTTTAATTTTTGAACACGCTAGAATCAACAAATAAAATAATTAAAAGCAATAAAACAATCAAATGAAAGGATATTTAAAATATGTACCATTGCCTTTTTCCCTTCTCTTAAGTATAGTTTTGCCTCACAAACAAGTCTGTAAAAATATTTTTAAATGATGTGAAAGTCAACAATATGTGCATAAAAATTGATATTTATAATATGTACCATTGACTTTTTCCCTTCTCTTAAGTATAGTTTTGCCCCACAAACAAGTCTGTAAAAATAGTTTTTTAATGATTTGAAAGTCAATAATATGTGCATAAAAATTATTAATTCTCTTTTTATGCATCAATACATTGATATACCTGTATTATTTCTGATAAAAATTTGATAAAGATTGGAACTTACAATTTAACCATTATCAAAATAAAATGAAGACTATCTTTCCCTTTCCAGAATTAATAGAGAGACAGCTGATTTAGACTTTTTAATGATTCTAAGCAAGAAACAACTCTATGAAAAATTGAGTTTTGAACCAAGTAAATGGAAAAAGCATGGGGATAAACAGAGTTAATTACGGCAATGCCACCATACTTTTCAAGATAAAGTTTGTAGTTGCTTTTTGTTAATATTATCTTACCTTTCATTTCGTACTGAAAGATCTTCAATTTCTTTTTCAAGCTTTTTCAAAGTCTTTTGAATCCTTAATGCAAAAAATTATAAAAATTATTTACTATAGATAATTTTCTGGTTATCTACTTATAATAGGTTATTAGGACAATCAGATGGCAAAAGACAATCAACACAACACTGGTTTTGACTTTCTCTTAATTTCCCTTCCAGACTTCACATACACAAACATTATACAAATCTGGTCAGGCCTCTGATGATTTATTTGTCCTTGTCTAATCTCTCTCTCTCTCCATAACATTTGTCTTTCTTCTGGACTTTTTGTTTTGCAGATAATTCTTAGAAAAATTTTAAAAGTTCAAAACTCAGCTGCTAGGTTAATTCTAGAGGCAAAACAACGTGATCACGTCACACCACTACTTCATTCAATTCATTGGCTCCCTGTACAAGCACGGATAGACTACAAAATCTCTGTTCTCTGCCATAACTTTTTCTCGATTTCCTCCCCTGTCCTATCTAACCGAACTTCTCTCTGTCTATTCACCCCTTAGACAGCTTTGCTCCTCCACAGACGTGCGTATTCTTTCTGTCCCCAAGACTCACACAAAAACATAAGGTGAACGATTGTTCTCTTTCTGTGCCCCCAAACAATGGAATTCTCTTCCATTACACATCCGCAATATACCGACCCTCACAGCCTTCAAAACTGCACTCAAAACACATCTTTTTAAACTCTACTATCCTGACTGATTACCCCCTCTGACCGAAAAACTATGCTGCTGGGTGTTTTCCATGGCTTGACATGTAAATAGTTTTGTTTCATTTAATTAATGTATGTTAATTAATTTTTAAAGTTTTTTTATTACGTTTGTTAAATTGTATGTACAGCATGGTGATCCCAGCCCTAGGCTGGGGTACCACGCTATATAAAACCACTTATAATAATAATAATTTTAGCCGCCTATCTCGGACTGACTCCTGACCCACCCTGGTTTGCTTCTGTGCTCTTTATGTTTTCCCCTCCTCCAACTATCCCACCTTATCTCCCGCTCAAAATGCACCCTGCATCACCCGGCAAGTCTTCACTTAGAACACCTAAGAGAAAGGGACAGATCAAGGAATGCCTACTGATGTGAGCTGCGGGCAGACACTAATGAGATAGGAGGGAACTAGGAACCATGATGCCTAGAAAGCTCTTACTGTTAGCCTTTGTCCCAGGCCAACGAAAACATCTCATCTTTAGATATTCTTTATATTTATTTATAAATGTTTAGAAAAATATTTTTTAATATAACATTAAATATTACCTGTATATTAACTATTAGCAAAATTATTCTCTCAAGAAATAATATTTTGCTACAAACTGAATCGCTATGAGACAGCTAAGCATGTGATGCAAAAACAAACAACAGCTAAGCATGTGATGCAAAAACAAACAACAGCTAAGTATGTGATGCAAAAACCAACAACAGCTAAGCATGTGATGCAAAAACCAACAACAGCTAAGCATGTGATACAAAAACAAACAACAGCTAAACATGTGATGCAAAAACAAACAAAATCTTTTACTAAATTACAGTACTGTCAATGTAAAACTATTTTTTACAAGATCTTTTATGTTACATGTTAGAACTTACTGATAAACTTGAAGTTCAAAGTCCAATATATTTTCTACTTTAGTTGCATCCTGTTTACAAAACTTGACAATCTGGTTAGACAATATAAATATTTACATAAATTTGAGTAACTTCTGTTTGGACTGCATATAATTTTCATTTTTAAAAACAAATACCACATTCTTTTTCAAAATATCAGTTGCCAAGAATCTGTTAATATTAATGATTGCTATGGTATAAAGAGTGTATTATAATTAAAATAAGCAAGAATTATATCAATAACATCAAATCAATTTGTTAGAGGTCTTTTGAACAATGCAAACATTCATGTTATACAACTTCACTACATGTATTGATTTATTGTTTTCTAATTTTTAAAAAGATTAAGATGGAAACCATTTCTTTTTCCTCTGTTTCCCGGAGAACTATCTTTCTATCATGTTGAAGCTGGGTCAAAATCAGTTCAAATTCTTCATCTGATCGAATTGATAGTTTATGGTGATTCCTGAGTTCAGCTACAGATAGTAAGTTACTAGTCATCTCATTAGCCATGCTGGCTTGGAGATCTGCTAGAAGTTGCTCAGATATTTTCTGCAGATAAACAAAATGTAACAATAGTAATTATACTTTTTCAATATCTAGTTTTTATAAAATAGTATTTATTGATGTCATTTCATTACAAAATCATGCGATATGTTCTTAAACATGGGGCCATGCAATAATTAGTTCATGAAACTGGAGTGGGGAGCGGGGTGGTCACATTTTTATGACAATTTGTGATGAGTGAGGGAGTGAGTTAATCAATGTGACATCACATAAAGAGCGGGACATGTCTGAAACAATGTGCACTGACTTACAGTAATTTTTACCATATTTTCTTTACATTTGTGGATGTTTGATAGTTGATAATGTGTATTTTATTCAATGTTTTCATTTTTAAAATACAATAACCATCAATTAGTACTGAGTGAATCAGTACTGTGGAGAATTGGTACAAACACTGACAACCCTGAGGTTACAGGATTACACAGAGAAAAAGATCTGAGATGCACTGACTTTGACATTTTTTTTAAATGTGTCGATTAGAAGACAATTATTTTTTTATTTTTTTTGTGTTTGTGGGGTGGGGGTGATTTAATGTTTGAGGGGAGTGGGTTTACTTTTTTGTTTGTTTGGTGTTTGTGGGGTGGGGGGTGATTTAATGTTTGAGGGGAGTGGGTTTATTTTTTGTTTGTTTGTGTTTGTGGGGGGGGGGGGGATGAGGGATTATACATTAGACGCATGGTGCCTTTTTTTAAAATGAAGTGATTTAATGTTTGAGGGGAGTGGGTTTACTTTTTTGTTTGTTTGTGTTTGTGGGGTGGGGGGATGGGGGGTGATTTAATGTTTGAGGGGAGTGGGTTTATTTTTTTTGTGTAGAACTGTGATGATGAGGAAATGGAGGAGTCGAAAATCTGTAAAAGTAATGTGACATCATTTATAAATGGTCCAATTACTCTTTCTCTCCTCCTAAAAATCTATATCTGCCTAAACAAGAATAAGATTGGTAGAAGCTCTGTCTCCAATTTACAAGAAAGGAATTTTATATTAAGTGATCACAGTGAGTATTTTACAGAATTTAACAATAATAAAAGGGGTTAAATGGTTTCAGGCACACTGCAGTTTTCCGTAAAATAAAATGTATTTATTTAACATTACCTTCACAACTTCTGGCCAGACATAAAGTGTTGCTTTATTTGCTGTTGATGATCCAACAAGACGACCAACACTCCAGGTCAAAGGTTGCTTGACTAAAGTGTTGAAGCCCCATGATAGCCAGGAATTAGATTTCTTGAACTCTTCAATACTTTTTACTCTACCAGTTCTATAAAATAAAACTAACTAGTATGAGTCTAAATCAAAAATGACTTTATTGTGCTGGGAATATTTTCCTGTTTAAATAAGGAAGTCGTTTAACTAAAGAATATACACTGCTCAAGAATAATAAAATATATTATGTCCAGCACTATAGGTAGTATAGAAAGTCTGGGATCTACGTTCTTTGGGATTATAAAATATAATGTTTCCATTAATTCTATTTTCAGATACATCAATGACAAAACTCAAAGAACTATAATTAATCCAAAATGTCACCACAATAATTTTTTTTTCAAAAAAAATCACATCACTGAAAGAAGACCTCTCCATGTAATCACAAATATATTTTTTTTTTTAAAACTCAATTACGTTAACAATTTTTACGCATGGTTTGACCCCCCCCCGTCAACAACTGTCAAACTTTCTGTGACCCCCCCCATTTAACTATGTCAACATTTTATAAACCCCCCCACCAAAAATAAAAAATGAATTATAATATAATCATTTAATTACATGTTTAGCTTGTTAATCAACCAGTTAAAAAGTTTTTACACTTAAATTTTATAATGCAGAATCAATTAATAGGTTGTTAAGGACTAAATATCATTGTTTGTGGAAGTATAAATATGATTATTTTCAGTATAGCTGACAATTATAGTATAGTTTCTAGCTGCTATCATCTTCCCATGGGGTAACCAGGTGTTGTTGTATAGTAATAATGGGCATCAGGGACATCATTTGGGTAGGGCAGGCGGGCATTTTCCCCCCCCCCACCCCGATTTTGCTTGTTTCATTTAAATTGCTATGTACTGTGGCGCCTCCAGTGATAAACAACTTAACAAGCCGACCAAGTTTTGGTTTTTGCCCCCCCCCATTAAATTGCTATGTACTGTGGCGCCTCCAGTGATAAACAACTTAACAAGCCGACCAAGTTTTGGTTTTTGCCCCCCCCCCTTCCCTGAAAAAAACCCTGAGATCCCATCCCTGATGGGCATAGTCTATAATAGTTGATTTATCATTTTCATATTGTGGAACTAATACACCAGACAAGTAAACATCATCCTTATTCAGCACTTAAAATAGAAGTGTTGGTGTGAACAATAATTGCCATAAGCTCTCTGTCTTTGTGTTGATATAGTTGTTATTAATCACCTATGAGTGTGCATTTTTTTTAACACCGCACACAATGATGTGTTATTCATTCTAGGGAGCAGATTAAGAGAAAAATGTCAGGTGAAGAGACGCCCATTTTTGACTTCTCTTGCACTAACAAAGTGTGCTAACATTCTGACCAACCATTTGCATTTCACAGACAGACAAACATTAAACTCTTAAATTGTTAAAAGCCTAAACATATGTGACTATTTACACTCTTTAAATTGTTTAAAATAATGTAAGTACAAGCCAATTTTTAAGATTAAAAGTCTAATAGAAAAAACATGAGTGTTGAAGTCAACTAATCGAAACTCACCCCCTTCCCCCTATCAACAACTGTCAAACATTTCCAACCCCCCCCCCTATTTTGTTGACGTAATTAATGGACCCCCCCATAGACTGCCATAGAGCAGAATGATTAAAAAAATTTAAATGTCCTGGTTTTGATAACAATGGTCACCTTAATAAACGATAACTTGCTATTTTGGTTGATATTTTATCCCTCCCACAAATCATCACAAATTTGTGACACAAATTATGCACTTTTATCACATTTTCATAAATTTTTGAAGCTCCCTCCCCTTAACAGTTAATAAAATGCTAAAAAATAAAGACAAAAGTAATTATAGTGAAGGAATAGCTTTAACTAAAAGCCTAATCTAGTAAGACTAGTTGTTAAGCTTGTGATCAGACCAATCATCATATTCATAATATTAATTACTATCATCTGACTAGCTAAGCCTGATTCAAATATGTACAAGATAAATAATGGGCTGGTTCACTGCTGCAGCATTAAACAGAAACTCATCCCTATCCCTCCTAGACAGTGATGAGGCCATGACAGGCAGTTCCGGCTCAAAAAGCAACAAGAACTCTGTACAGGAACTGCTCATTCCTGCCAAAGACAGTCAGGGATTGGAACAAGCTTCCAGAAGCAACAATTGAGGTTACACTTGACACATTTGCGTCTATTGCTTCCTCCCTTCCAAACCGCAGTTCTTAATACCATCGCTGAGTAGCCCTTGCAAATTTGCAACCAGTGAAGTATCCTCTTCAAAACCATGCACAGTTGCATCACAAACCCCTCTACAAACATAGGATCCAGAATGATCAATGTCAATATTTTGATCGTTTGGCCCTTGCCCTTTTAAAATATAGAAGTAGAAGAAATAAATTATAAATCCTGCCAAAACAATAACAAGGACCATCAAGGATAATCTAATAAATTTCAATTTAATAAACTCACTTTGCAAGTTCTTCAATAACAGTAGCAAAACACTTAGGTGTTATACCCTTTCGCTCAAACATGGATGGTAATAAATTTAAATCAAATGTTAAACATTGTCTCTCTAATGCTATTTTAGACAGCCAATTTTCCCAGAATTTCATTTTACGATTCCATGAATTGGGATTTAGAGATTTATCTCGGAATGGCGAATATAAAACAGCAGCCTGCTGATCGTCTTCAAGTTCCGGTGGTAAGAAAGCCTTTTCACTCAAAGCCATTGTTTTTACATGTACTAAACTATAAAACAATCACTGATGAGTGTGTTTGTAATTTGGCAACATCTTTTCATTTTTGTTTTTGTTCATAGAAACAACATCTAAGAGGGGAAGGAACTGGATGGATATTTATGGTGAATAAATGTTATTTTCATAACGAAAGAGCTATGTCTTTTTTTCTTTAAAATAAAGAAGGCCAATTAAATAATTTTATTCCAAATATCTTTCACCTTTTTAAAATTCAATCATTATTAATTTTAAATTTTTTTTTTTAGTTTATGAATGATGAAAATTAGTGCCCAAAAGCAGCTTTTTAAAACAGATTTTCTTACATTAACCTGCAATTATCATTGGAATGAGTCACCATTCATCATTTATGTGACATGTAAATGTAATTAAAAATGATGTGCGACTGTAGACTAGTCGTAGTGTAGACCTGATCATGCGTTGATTGATATGCATGAGAATGCATATCATAATCATTCATAATTTCATTATTGAAATTTAACATCAGTTTAATTCCTGTTACACGGAAGTTGTCAGATGAAAAAATTATTCTATTCAGTTGTGTAACTATCACAGCAAGATAATTAAAAAATGAGAGCACCCCCACCCTACCCAACTCAATCAGTTGCACACTGTATATGACACCAATAAAATTGCAAAAGCTAGTCTAAATATATTTGAAAATGGGAATCATTAAGGGGCCATCCATAAAAGACGTCAAGCTACTTGGGCAGAATTGGCCCCCCATCCCCAAAATAAATTTAAAAAATTGTCACAAAATTGTTACAGTTTCGATACCTTTACAATGCTGGGTCAAATACATCGTCTCAAATTTCATTTCCCTCCCCTCTGGATGTGTGACGTTATTTTGTTGTTTTTTAATCACTGGCGGTTGTTTTTAAAACCACATACCTAAGAAAACGAGAAGCAAATCTTAAAAGAATTTATTCTTTTGGAGTCTAATGTAGGCTTACATCGGACTGTGAATGTTATTTCAGATGATACGATACGGGTACACAGAAGTGAGAGACCTGTTGTTAAATATTACGTCTGTAAGAGACAAATTCGGACATTGAAATTTTGGCGTCATATGAAACAATGCTAAAAAAACTTCTTGTTGGGACAACAGAACATTTAAGCCTGAAATTATCACAGAATAAATTCTTTTAACTCAAACATTTTGATAGATAATAATAATGTGATATAGAGTCATGTTCCTGTACAAATAAAGAATTTAACTCTTAACTTCTAACAATTTTAAAGAATGTCTTGTTAAATTATTTGAATTGTTATTCCTCTGCAGCTGCTGTTTAAAAGACTTTCTATCTTTATCATCTTTTTATTATTTTTTCATGTAAACATTTACCATGTCTCACGGACTCTTCAGCCTGCCTTCTGGGATGAGCTTCAAGGGATAGGTTCTCAGAAAAAGAAATGATAATTTGTACTTTTCATTATCATATCTTGCTGAGGCTCTAACTCCAATCATGAATTACAGTACATATCGTTACTTCATGTGACAGTAGTATATTTGTAAACAATATTATGAAAAGGGTGATTTCACTGCACATTCGTTTTAAACTTTTTTTAAACAATGCACCCTACGTGTAAAGAAAATTTTAAAAATCAGACTGGCATATTTATCTGTACTAATATTTATTTGGTCAGTGCATGAAAATGTTAAAATATGATGTCAAATATACAGAGAAATTACTACATAAAAAATTCATGTACTTATATTTAAATAAAAAAGTAAAAAAACATATATAAAAGATAAATAGATAAATTACCAAGTGTAGAAATATAAATCTAATTCTGCAATAAATATAGTGTGATGGACTCTGATAATAATAATGCTAGACCTAGAATAGGGGAGAGAATACAAGGAAAGGTCAAGTTAGAAAAAAAACAACAAAAAAACACCTTCAACAAGGAAGCTTTACATAAAAAATGATTTTATAACCCCATTTATCTACTTCAGGGGTCACCAAACTTTTTTCACGGTGGGCCGGATAACGGAAAAAATGACGAGGGCTAGCCGTATAATCATTCTGTACAATACTTGCAAGCAAGAACGAAAGCACTGGGAAAACCCAGGACAAACTAAGTTTAGTATTCCATGTTAATCATGGGTGAGTGGCGTGCAATGCAAAAAAGCAAAGACAACCAACATATTTATTTACTTTTAAAAAGTTAGCAAAGAGGCGACATTAGCAAAAAGAAAGATCAGTGCTAGTGCGCATGTATGAATCTCACAAAGCGGCACTATGGTTGGCTTTCAAGATATCAGAGCCGTTCTTAGCAGTTTGGGGGCCCTAAGCATGGAGCGTAGGTTGGGGGCCCCGGAAGGGGGGGCGGGGGTGGAGCTCCCTCGAGCTGAGGAGAAAACACCACCCACCACTGCGGCACCTCCATTTTGCCTTCATCAATGTTTCCTCTTTCCCATTCCCACAGCCAAGCCCCCGATTTCCTGTCTGCCACCCCCTGCTGCTTCCATTCCCCTGCCTCCGAATTCAACTCAGAATGATAAATTTCAGGATGAGGAAGGTAACGTGAGTGACAGACGGCTGCAGTGCCAGTTTAAAAAAAAAACCGGGGGATTGAGGGCGCCTCACGGAGGCCGCCAGTTTAAAAAAAAAAAACGGGGAATCGAGAGCGCCTCACGGAGCCCCCCCCCCCCCTCACGTTCGGGGCCCTACGCGGATGCGTAGTCAGCGTATGCCGAAGAACGGGCCTGAAGATATGATCAATCTTTGGTTTGTAATTGCTGCATCCAATCAAAAGAATTGTTTTCAAAAGTTCATCAATCCCATTCGTTCCATGTGTTGACTTCACATACATTATTTTTGAAAATGTTGGCTCACAGATCTAAGTTGTTCCATGCATGCTGCAAACGGGTGCCAACTCTTCCGTAATCTGAAAGTCCAAATTGACACTACAAGTAAACACGAGAAGTTGTGACAGATCAGAAGACTCATCCTGTGCCAGAGAATACCACAGAAAGTTCCCAGCTTTCTCACATATCTGTAGCACTATGTTCTCTCCAAGTTCTTCTGTTCTCCGCACTGAACTTGCTTAAAGGTTGTTAGTTCCAACCACGGCGACTACAATTTTTAATGTCCCCGTATTTTTCCAACACTCCTTTTTCTGTCACACATTTACAGTGTGTGGTAGTTATGAAGACTATAACATATTAGCGGGAATAGGCTTAATGGAAAATGATTATTTTATTATTTTTTTCAAACCAGCTTCTCCTACAATTTTTTTCAAACCAGCTTCTCCTACAATTTTTTTCAAACCAGCTTCTCCTACAATTTTTTTCAAACCAGCTTCTCCTACATTTTTTTTCAAACCAGCTTCTCCTACAAACGACAACTTCAAGTAGGCCTTCTTGGTAGGTTTTTTTAAATGATGTCATCAATTTTTAACTTCTTTTTTTTTTTTTTTTTTTTTTTTTTTTTTTTTTTGATTTGTGTTTGAACCTTTTTAAATTTTACCAGTAACTTTGTTTTTATTCTCCTACAAACGACAACTTCAAGTAGGCCTTCTTGGTAGGTTTTTTTAAATGATGTCATCAATTTTTAACTTCTTTTTTTTTTTTTTAGATATATCTTGTTTTATGCTGATCTGAGTTTGAACCATGTTAAATTTCACCAGTAACTTTGTTTTTACCAGCGATAGACTGTGATAAGGTGATCTGTACGTCCACTCAAAAAAAATTAATATTAATAGCAAATACACGTCTGAAAAACAAATACACGTCTGAAAAACAAAGTGACCACAGATTGTATTATAAACGTCGGTCATCTCCTTTTAGTAGTTAACTTTTTTTTAACGCCAGCTTAACTCGATCCCACTAGGATTCATTTTACATACTGTACGTTTATTTATTTACTATTAAGATACCGGATTGTACGATTTTGAGACGATATTTTACGATTTTAGGAGTTTGAGGGCAAACAGGTCTGTAATAAACAAGAAAATCTAGATCGATAATTGAAAATGGTAAAATAAGGCGCATAGCAGCCAGGAGGTCTCCGCACGTGTGAAGATCTCCTACTAGACTAAACATAATATTGAAATTTAAATTGTATCACAACGTTTCGTGTTCTATACGTTTTATCGAGCCAGTGCAAGTACCGTCGGCGGGCCGGATGAACTGGCCTCGCGGGCCATAGTTTGGTGACCCCTGACCTACTCTTTTGATTAAATTATTGGTCATTTTCTAAAACTTTTAAAGGAGATTAAACTCCGAACAATAAAATAAAGATCTGACATCAGGGTTTATTAACATATAACTCAACATGTTTGAACATTCATTGTGGCAAAAAACAATAACACAGCCTTATTTCACTAGAGTGTATTTTAATGTCAGCAAATTTGTTGGCGGTGGTGGGGCGGTAGGGGAATCAGTTGCTGCTCTAAAAAAAATTATTTATGCTACAGGCGATACACCCATGTTATATAACATTCTGATACACCCATGCTATATAACAGATAGAACCATGTTATATATATGACATTTCGATACACCCATGTTATATATATATAACATTCCGCAACCGTGAAGATTTAAAATGATGCTTTATTCCTATACCAAAAAAATAGGCCAGGCAAGCAAAAATCTCTATTTCTTCATTGATGTTAAACCACATTTAATACAGGACAAGACATACATACAACTCATGAGCTGGGGTTCACACCCCAGCAAAACCAAGAACATATAAACATAAATCTAGGCACTTTGAGTGGATGGGACTCATCAACCTCAGAGGGTGGCTCTTTAAGAGAAGGAAAACTACAAAACTATGCTGCCTAAAAAATACATGGTTAAAGGTTATGGAAGTAAACCCAGACAGAAATGTGTCCCGCAGACAAAGTTAAAGTTTACTCAATGAAAATTCCTGAACATCATGAGATTGAGATGCCTTGCTGTATAGGCTATATATTGCGAAGTGCAGAAAACAGAGACTAATGGAGGATAGTCTTTATGTCATCTGTGGCGCCCCAACGGTCCAAGGACTAAGGGACATGAAGATGATGATTGGCTATATTAATGTTTCATTGGTTAACTGTTAGACAGACAGCAGATTCTAGATGATTCTAGATTTTAAAACACACCTAGCCAAATCTAGTAATTTTGTCAGACACTGCCAATAAAATTACACCACTGCATCTTGGACACAGAAACTCAATTCTTTTTACTTAACAGGAGTTAAATATAAAGACATTGAAACCAACAGAAATACTAAACATCCACGGATACACTTTCCTTTAAAGTAAAAATATACAATTTTCCAGGTAAAAATGAAACTATACAGGTAAAACAAAGACACTAAATATGGTAACATAATAAAAACATAACTTGAATCTAATACTTGTCCAAATGGCTAATGGTCAAAACGATTTTTTTGAGTTGCCTTTAAACAAAAAAAAGTGCGGTATGCTTTTCAATATAAAATGAGTAAAACAGAGTAGGGTTAAACCTGAAAAAATAAACGCAACAAAACAGCGAATGTGTCGGCAGAAAGCCTTCGTCAGCGATCAAAACAACAGAAAAAACGGTATAAAAATAAAAAATAGCACTTAGCTGGTCTGTGGGCAGCACACAGATACTACTTACCAGCTAAGTGCTATTTCTTATTTTTATTTTTGTTCGCTGACGAAGGCTTTCTGCCGACACGTTCGCTGTTTTTTTGCGTTTATTTTTTCAGGTTTAACCCTACTCTGTTTTACTCATTTTATTTTGTACTAACCTGATTGCAGTCTCTCCCCTTATTACCCCTGCTTTTCAATATGCTTGTTTTATATTGTTTAGAATTGTGAGATCATTTTTTGTGTGGTTATGTTATGTGGCAGCAATGTCCCTTAACTGGCATAGTATGAACAAGAAGATATGCAAATAATTTAAACATTTTAAACATATTTCATGTTCAATAATCTTGACTTTCATTTCCTTCAAATTATAAATAATTATTTATAACGATTTAATAATTTCATGGGTTAACTTTTCAGAGTTTTTAAGTATAGTTTGTGTGTCTGTTATATGTTTACATTTTTTCAACTGCAGCTCAGAATCCTTGCCCAAATCATCACTCACTTCACGTTTTAAATCAACCCTTTCTACGTGTTCCATTTTGAACATTTTCTTGTCTGAATCTGGTTCATCTTTCAATTCAATTTTTGTTTCTGGTTTAATGTCAAGATCACCTAACAAATCTTGATCTGCACTTATTTCCAAATCTCTTTCTGACTTTTGAGTGTGAATGGATGAGACGCAGACTTTTGGTCCAGGGTATCTTGGAACCAAAATGTTTAAAGCTTTACAGAGTGACTTCATGACATCATCCACAAAAGCTGAGATTTTCAAATCTGCTTTTCTGTCATGTTTAGTTGGCTGCAAATTTACTATGACTAACTTGCCACCATTCTTTTTGGTCAGCAAGGGAATATTCCCACTTGGTACAATTTGCAAAGAAGTCCCTAAACAAATGCTCAGATCTGATTTTCTGTTGAGAAAAAAAAGTAAGGGATTTCAATTTCTGATTAAGTAAAACAAAGGATATAAATAGTTTTTTTATTACTAGCAACAAAACATAATGATACAATGCTTGGATAAAATGCTTAATTATATTATGTTTGGTATTAATACCCTTATACTTATACAAATAACCTGCAATTATCATTGGCAGAATCCAGATCTCTTTCTGGAAGTGAATCTTCCCAATCCAGAATTGTGTCTATCAACTTTCCTCTGAAAAATAAATCGGTTGGAATTATTCAAACCTTCATGATATATCTTAATTATAAACACAATGATATCACTAAAATCAATTTTTATTAGTTTTGCTCATTAAAGAAATCATTTAATATGCATTATCTTATCACTAATAAATATAATGCAAACAGTATTTATGGTAAAATATTCATAGTACACATTTTAACAGTTTACTGATAATCAATTGAATTATTTTTATCATTTTGAAGTTAAAATTACAATTATCAAACTGCTTAAGAAAAATTTAATAACCATTGTCAGCCTTTAAACGGATTTTTCTTCACCATAGTGAATGATGGTGTCATGGGCAAGTCAATGATGGTGTCATGGGCAAGTGAATGATGGTGTCATGGGCAAGTAAATGATGGTGTCATGGGCAAGTGAATGATGGTGTCATGGGCAAGTGAATGATGGTGTCATGGGCAAGTGAATTAGGACATTTATATGGTGTCCGCTCATCCGATAGTGGCAAACTCTCGACACCACGTGTTTGTCTTGAGACTTACGGAAAGCGCACTTTCGCATTTGCTGGTCCACTAATTTGGAACGCCCTTCCTGTCGATCTCAGAAACAACCAGACACTGGAGTCCTTTAAAACCGATTTAAAGACACATCTATTTCGCAAACACCTTCTGGGATGAAATTGTCAACATTATTTTCCAGTTAATGCATAATGGCTGTGTTGCTTATGGTTGAAATGGCTAGAAAGACTTTGCCATTGTATGCTTGTACTTAGTTTTTGTCGTGTTGCGTTTGTTTTAAATGTGGTAAACTATAGATTTGTTTTTTTTTACTTTGTACCGCGCTTCGAGCCTTTGGGGATGAAGCGTGTTTTTGAAATGAACTTTATTATTATTATTATTATAGGCAAGTGAATGATGATGTCATGGGCAAGTGAATTATGGTGTCATGGGCAAGTGAATGTTGGTGTCATGGGCAAGTGAATAAGTGTGACATGGGCAAGTGAATGATGATGTCATGGGCAAGTGAATGATGGTGTAATGGACAAGTGAATTAGGACATTTATATTGTTAAAAATATCAATTTGAGCACATTTTCACACACACACACAGACACAAAAATAGGCTTGCTGATATAAGCAGCATGAATAAATCTAATATACAAATGAGACCAATTTTCAGTGCTGATTTGAAATTTTAGTACAGAGTGCAAAACCAAGACTAATAATTTTCAATTAAAAAAAAAATGCACAAAACATTGAAATTAATTACAAAACTGTTATAGCCTTTGGGATGAATATTTTGAAGGCATACTAAATGTAGACAATAGACCAGATGAAGATTATCAACCACCACAAGGAGAACCAGACCATTTAATAAATGTCCCAACTTTGGAAGAAACTACAGAAGCAATCAATTATATGAAAAACTACAAAGCCCTTGGAGAAGACATCAATCAGAACTTATTAAATATGTAGGATGATAACTACACACTCAGACATATAAACTTTTAACTACAATTGGCAAGAAGAGTAAATTCCAACAGAATGGGAAACAGCACTAATAACCCCAATACACAAGAAAGGTTCCAAACTTCAATGTAAAAACTACAGAGGAATTTCCTTATTAAATGTTACAGACAAAATACTGACAAAACTAATTGCCAAAAGACTACAACTACAACTGTATACAGAACAATTACTAGGTGACTACCAATGTGGATTCAGCAATGACTGATCAGATTTGCACCATCAGATGCCTATTAGAGAAACGATAAGAATATAATATCCCAGAAAATCAGCTCTGCAGGAGTTTGGCATGCCCAGCAGACTGATACATGCAACATCAAACAACTCAAAAAGCAAAATCAAGGTTCAGGGAGGGTATTCAAGGGAATTTCAGATTAGGCAAGGAGACTGACAGTCTTGTACGCTATTTAACCTGACTTTAGAGAGAGAATTATAAAAAACATACACATTGATACCCGAGGAACAATAGAAAGATAATTTCTGAGGGAGAGACAAGACCCACAACCAATCGGCACTCTCTAAAATCAACCCCTTCAGTATTCTGCACATGCTGATGACAAAGCATTGTTAGGGAAAAAATAGTAAAGATATATCAAAAGCCTTTATTGAATTAGAAGATGCATCGGTACAAACAGGGCTGGAAGCTAACAACCAAAAAACAAAATACATGAATATGATAAAAGAAGAACAGACAGATGAAACCATTAAAATTAGAAGCCGCACTTTAGAAAAAGTAGATCAACTCAAACATCTAGAATCTTTATTAAAAGAAAGAAATTAATTACTAACAGAAGTAAAAGAAAGATTATTGGCCAGAAAAAAGGCATACTTCAGGATTTAAATAATACTCAAAAGTAAAAACATGGTAACAAAAACAAACAAAAAATGTATAGAAAACTTTAATAAGACCAGTAGTAACATATGCCAGTAAAACTTGGACCCTAACAAAAATGGCTGAAAAGCTATTAAAGACATAAGAGAGAAAAGTTCTCCGGAAAATATATGGACCAACAAAGGATAAATATGGATGGAGAGTATGAACCAATCAGGCATTGTATAGTCTATATCAGGATCCCATGATAGTAGCAGAAATAAAAAGGGCAGACTGCAATGGGCTGGACACTTAGAAAGAATTCCAAATGACAGTGGAGTGTAGAGGGTGCACCACCAAAACTCCAGAGGAAAATTGCTCAAAGGCAGACCGAGACTTGGATGGATGAATGATTTGATAATACTATACTTATAGGAGCCTTAAAAGGTTTTACTCTTTGTGTGTGTATATTAATATTTGTATCTTTCAAGTATTATACTTTTTCACTTGCTGTAAGTTAATATAGCTTTTATTTCTGTAAATTTGATTTTTTATTTCTATTAAAATTTAATAGTATAATTAAATTGCATATTGTTAATAACTAGCTTTGATATTATTTTTGCTTTGTATGCTGGTTTTCAGTCCTTTGTTACTTATTGTTCATCTAACAAGCCAAATCTTAAAACAAATTAAATTTGCAAAACCATATAACGTTTCATAACCACACAAATAACATTTAAAAACATAATAAAAACGCAAATTAAATTGAAATAAGAAGTGATGGGAGCAGACGTTGATTACCATTTGCTATGATAAGTTATGAAGGTACCTTATATAATTCTGTATAGGTAAATAAAATGTAAATCTCTGTGAATCTACCTGCATGTTCCACGAGACTTTTTCTGAGAGCAACACCCTCCAGTAAGATTTCTGGCCATGGTGGCTACACTGTGTTTTCTTATGTACTGTTAATGGAAAAACATGAAAACTTCCGAGGTTTACTTCTGCTGTTGAATGTATATCTAGTACATGTAAGGCCAAATGGTCTGTTCAATCAGTTTAAAGAAGGATTTTTGCAGAAATAATCATAACCGTTGTGCATTTTACTTTCACCAATGCAGTCATGATGTTTGAAGTGAAATAATGTATTATGACATGTTTATACGTCACATGGGGAAATGGTGTCAGTGGGCCGTCGAGCGCAAGCTCTTAATGCACCACCCCCCGGCACACCTCCACACAGGCCAGACGCCGGGTTTGCTTCCACTCCAGGGGAAAAGGTGTGGCGTTACCTCCCCCCACTGCCCAGGGAGTCTTTCGGTCGGGACGGAAAGCTGGGACGAAACGATTGCCTAGGAGCGGCTTTCTCATGGTCGCGTAGCTAAAATCATCGGCATGGGTTTTAACTGCCACCCAAGCCTTATATCCTTCAACGGCAACAAGTAATCATGTTACGACGTTACTACTCCCGTTGTGTTGGGAGTCATGTGGTCGGCCGTGTTTTTTTGTTCCGGAAGAACAGTACCTCCCCACTAGTCTGCCACGCCACAAAGAGGCAAACCCCATGAGGACACCCCAAGTTTCCTCGGAGACGCATTCCTCTCGGCATTCATACACTTATATAAATATATATAAAATAATATAAAATTATTATTAAAACTTCACTTATATTGTTATATTGACACAAATTCTTCATGTCTAGCTAATGTAATCATCATACAGAAGACTCAAATGCACAAAATGGATGTTTTGTTGCATATAAATTGACAGCCAAACTGATTATATAATTTATTGGGATACATTTTAAATACTTCCATCTTACTCTAAACTAGGTAAATGTAAAGTTAGGTATTTTACGGTTAATGTTTTTCAAAGTTTAAATAAAATGATAAGGCTTAAAAATTATTATTGAGAAGGATGTTGAAGTTTTGGTTATTTTAATGAATTTTCTTTATGCTCATAATGCACTGCCGTATTTTGCTATATAATTAAATATTAAAAGTGAAGCTCACCTGATGACCACATTTGTTGCATTCCTCCACAAACATATTTCCGTGAAGTTCTGACAATCGATTTCGAGGGAAACCAGATCTAACATGAAGTCCATCAATATTTTGGCTCACTACATAGCTCACTATACCTTAAATACATCAAGAGCCAAATATTACATTCAAATAATTTATTTTTTTTATTTGATTTGTAGCTCACAATCATCAAGAGCATCAAAGTAAGCTAATCTGGCTTCTGCAGGTTAAGACAGCCGATGGACCAGGTAGTCTGTTTTGTTTAGACCACCATGCAGTGGCAATATTTTTGTCTTTCAGCAGGCTTATGATAAAGACTGGAAGACAGGTCTGATATTAAGGCTATAGCAGCTAGGTAGGTGTCAATGTTAACTTATAAAATTGGATTTAAAACTTTCTATCAGACTAAGCTATCTCTTCAAGAATTGGGGACAATTTTTTAAAGAGCGATGCACTTAGTGTGACTTCCCCCCACCCCCCAAACCCTTAGTCAGTACTGAGCTGTACATTTTTCCTTGCTTACAATTATGACCGGCAGGGTCATTTGGCAAGATGTGATGCTTGCTGTTGACTTGCTTGTTTTATGGTAGTACCAAATAGATGAGGTAACCTACTTTATTGTTAGCCAAAGCAATTAGTTCAGCCCCTACAGTATATGTAAAAGAGATAAGATTCATTGTAAAAAATATTTATAAATATGTATTTTAAAGTCTTAAATTAATAAACTGACATCTAATTAATTCTAAATAATATTAGCATAATACCAGCTTTCTCAAGTGCAACCAATGCCATATGTGTAAATGTTGCTTGAGCCGAGTCAAAAGTGACATCAAGTTTAGGAGTTTCACCTCTTTTCTCCAAAGTCCAAACTCCTGTTAAAGAATAAAGATATGTGATCAGTGATACATTCAGGATAGAGCTACCTGAGCATCTCTCCAATATCACTTCACCGTTATTTAGAAATATTTAGGTCCTGAGAATTTTGTTCTACTTTTAAAGGTAGATAGAATTATAGAGCTAAGAAGGGTAGCGAAAAAATTATAAAAGGAATCAAAGTCTAACTCCTGTGAGGCAAATTTAACTCTAGAAGAACTGTCACATTCATAGACCATCCCAAAATTTTGTCACTCCCGTCCTTACTAGATGCATATCATTTATGGATGGCCCCTCACTCCGTTTATAACCCCTTAACCACCGGCACATCACTGGTGATACCTACTTTCATAGTCATAGACTAAGTTTGACATGGTAATAAATCCTGGTTTCAACCCGATTCCCATATGGTAGTACCGATATTATTATTATTATGAGTATACAGTATAGGATATAGACAGTAAAAAAAAAAAAAAATAGAAAAATCTAAGTTAAACATTTTAATCAAAATAATTTAATGCTGAACTATATATAGAGACTATAGAGTCTATAGTTATATATCAGTATTATATGAAGCTTTTTAAAGAATTAAAACTTAGCTGGAGCTCAGAGTCAAAGCAGCCCTAAAATGAAAAATAAGTTATTAAGAACAAGAGCTGTGGAAAGTGGTGGAAAAAAACTCTACTGGACCACTCACTCTGCTGACTCTAGTTTTACTCCTGAGAGTGAAGAGTAAGTTTAAGACTATTATTTATTAAGAATGCTAAGAGACTCAAACTTAAATATTCGTTAAGAAATTATTCCCAATTTAAACCAAAAAAAAAGTAACAAACAATTTCTAGCTTCTGACACTTACCATTTGGGCCCCTAAAATCTGGTATCCCTGCTGATGTGCTGATACCAGCACCAGTATGAACTACGATTTTTTTGCTAGATTTCACTAGTTCAATTAATTTGTTCATTTTTACTGCTACTTCCTCGGGTGAATCAATTTTTTCTGGTTGACCGCACTTGCCTTTATGCTCATACGGCGACAGCCCCGATGCATAGTTTACAGACATAGTTTATTATTTGATTATAATTAGGACTAGACCCTATAATTGTAAATACAAATGTACCATACAATTTACAGCTGAAATCCTGTTTTCATGTTTACTTCTCCTTCCAGTCTTTTTAACCAACGGAGTGACTCCCTTCTCTATAAATGCTATCGTGGTCAACGAAATTCTTTAGGACGTGAAAGACTTTCGAGGCATGAGAACTCCGGACATCACCACCGTGTGCGCATGCCATGTAAGCTTCATACACAACATTGTTAACTTTATGGTTGTAATCTCTGGACACAACGGATTCGTTTTTATTTTGATATCTGCTTTAATATTACCCGGTAGTTTAGGAAATATTTAAACTGGCCTCAGTTTTGGGGTTAAGTAGACGACTGACATATTGAGATCGATCATGATTTATATCTTGTGTAATAGACGTTGATAACAAACAAGAGTACGAGTCTTCCACGAGAGTATAATACACGCTTAAAACTACACTGTCTTTAAGCCGAGTGGTCTGAACTGAGTCAATCCCAAGCCAGTTGACTGGAGTTCAATCCCCGAGGAAATAAATAAACATCACCGGTATTCAGAATGGGAGGTATGGGACTCGTTAACCTTGGATGACAACTCATCTAAGAGAAATGCAAACTTTGAAATCAAACTTATAGATGGAGTAGAGGCCGACCGAATTTCGGCTTCGGCTTCGGTTTCGGCGCCGAATTAGGCCATTTTATCACTTTCGGCCAAGTTTCGGTTTCGGCCGAAACTGGAAAGTTAACTTTCGGCTTAATTTCGGTTTCGGCCGAAAGAGAAAAGTTAACTTTCGGTTTTTCTTCGGTTTCGGCCGAAATTGACTTAGACTTTCGGCCATCCAGCCGAAAGTTACTCAGGTTTTCGGTCATTTAATACTAAGCGAAAGCGATATTTTACAACAAACTAAGCGACATTTAAGAACAAATTAAGCAATCTTTGAGAACAAACTAAATGATATTTAACAACAAACTAAACGACATTTATGAACAAACTAAACGATCTTTAAAACAAACTAAGCCATCTTTAAGAACTATCTAAGCGATCTTTTATAACAAACTAAACGATCTTAAAGAACAAACTAAACGATTTTTAAGACCGAACTAAATGATCTTTAAGAAAAAAATAATTGATCTTTAATGATTTATACGAATAAACTAAGCGATCTTTAACAGAAGACTAAATGTTCTTTAAAAACAAACTGAAAGATCTTTAAGAACAAACTAAGTGATCTTTATGAAAAAACTAAGCGAATTTACAACAAACTAAGCGATCTTTATGAACAAACT